TTTTTTTTTTTTTTACTTTATACAAATACTATCAGCTAACTTTATTAATTTCATAAATTTCAGAAATAATACATATTATGAGAGTACAACTAGCCACATATACAATTTTAGATTATCTATTTTAAGTAGTCTATCCAAAGGTTCTACACTAGCTATTATATCTAAAATCTCTTAGAAGATTCTCTATTTAAACTATCTGGTCCTATCTTACTTACAGAAAGTATTACTCTTATAGTTAACTCTAACTTTGTGCTACTTTATATTAGAAAGCATCCAAGCTGATATTAGTTGCAAACTTTACTATTATAGGCCTAGGTCTTATCTGAATAAGTCTCACTTCAACACCCTTCTAATAGATAGGTATTATAATACCCAACTATACTATACTATATCTCTATTCTAGCTTGCATATACCCTTATTCAATATTTGTACAAACCTAGTTCTAGCTATAGCCTTCTACCAGTTTAGACTTCTGTATCCTTCCAAATGTTTCATAAGGCAGATCCTCCTAATTTAGTTAGCTGCTAAGCCAAGTTGGTATTACTATAATACTCAATATCACAGATTTACTCGTACCTACTCGATCTATATCTTCATATTAGAAATCTTTGTTAGATCAAACGTTAACTAGTATAACTATTGAAATCTGTACTACTTCACCTAACTTGAGATTTTTGCTATGCAAGTCTTCTGCTCATAGATCCTATCTCAATTTATTCATATAATACAACTCCAATATTCTGTCATATTTCTAATATCTAAACAATATTGGTGTAACATGATTTACAAGGTTACAACTCCAAAAATAGACAGAGTTTACCATAAGTTAAGTACAAGGTTTAAGTAATTATTCAAAGTGTCAACAGAAGGATTTGAACCCCAAACCTATTGTATAGCAGTCTGACAACCTATTCACTACATTAGATTACTAGACCTTAAAAAATTTTAAATTTTAAAAAATAATAATAACAATAATAATAATAACTCGAAGCTTCAACTATAATTAAAGAAGAATTTTTGCTAGGTATAACCTAAGAAGTAGCTCTATAAATCCTCTTTTCAAAGCTTTAGATATAGTCTAAACAGAGAATAGAAGGTATTTATCTATAATATATTATTTTAGTGATGATAATATATTTTAAAGTTTGGTTTAAAAATTATTTAAGTTGGTTTGAGAAGTGAATAGTTTATATTATTAGATTTGTATATTGAAAGAAAGAGTAGAAGAGCAACAAGAAATGATTGTGGAGAATGTATTGAGAAGTTAAATGAGAAATACAGAGTATAAGAAGTTGTTGAGAAAGAGGAATAGGTTGTAAGCTCAAGTGCTGAATTTAGAAAATGAAGTTAGAAGAAGAAAAGAAAAAAATAATAATAATAATAATAGTAGAAGTAGTAGTAGTAGAAAAAGAATATGATATGATTACATGGAATCAAAATAAAATTATAGAAGCAATAACATCTCTGGCAGCTCTAAAAAAATTTGTAGTCTATAAATTGAATACCTTGCCTAACCAAACTTATATTCCAGAAGCTATCAAAGCAAAGCTCTACTATAGAGATACAGCATTTTTCAGAACCTTTACTCATATTCAAGCGAATAGATTCCAACACCAAGTAGAATTTAACTCGCTATTTAACAAAACTCTCGAGTTATACAAAAAGCAATATAACACTCTTCAAACTAACAAAAACAACTGAGATCAGATATTCAAAAAACTAAGAGCTAAACTTGTATTAGACTATCTAACAACTTTAGACTTCAATACTATGCATGCTTGGGAAATCATATGATATATATGTTATCTATCTACTTTTGCAAAAATACCTCTTGAAGAAAAAGTAGATTTTGATACACTCAGAAAAACAGTCTCTAGTGCTATAGAACAAGCTCATATTCTTTTGCTCAATAACCCAAAACAAATATCAGATTCACTAAAAAAGATTATTCTATTTGATTTACTAATTACTAATAGGACTATATTAGTACCAGTATCAAGAGTCCTATGGAAGTTATTCACATTTGAACTAATACCAGAATCTTATATTAAGAATAACAGAATTCCTCTACCAGAATATCTATATTTACTAAACGAAACTGTAAAAGATATGTTCCCAATTACTTAAAAAGCAGATCTAAAAAATCTTGCTTCCTATAGAGACAAATTAAGGGAATACTACATATTTTGAAGAATATCTACTGATTATTTCAATTTGCCTGCTACAAAATTAGCATTACTACTTATACCTCAAGAGCTACTATGTAGACTCTACAACTTCTTTCTATTCCTTCCTAAAAACTTAGAAGATTTTAAGCAACATATTCATATATTACGATAAGATTTTGCATTTACTAGACTCCCTAACAATTATTTTATTCATCTCAAATGATTACTAGCAGATCCTACTAATTTGAAGTTAGAAACAGAATTTATATTCCCAATAAAAGATAAAGAAACAGTACTATACTTTCTAGAAATACTACTGTTATCAAATGAGTTTTAGTAATTTTATCTTTATTTTATATTCATTAATTAGTTATTCTTTATTTGTATTTTA